AAGGATGATTGAGAGCCCCCCAAAAAGAAGAACATGATTAAAAAGTCAGTGCCTGCAGATTGATTTCGAGTATAAAGTTCTCCTTATCCTGAAAACCCAGCAGTGAGGAATTGAAAAGTGGGAAAACAAGTGAGGGAGGGGTGGCCGAACCTCTGACCAAGAGATGTGTGTGTGTGTGTTTGATTTTCAGCTATCATAACCTGCACAAGTACAATTTCACAGAAGATGTAAGCGTCAGACAAGCGATTGGTCCTCGCAGAAGAACTGCTTAACAGGCACAATGTAGCCAGGAGTGTTCAGCAGTAAAACAGCAACCTGCTCGATGACAACAGCAAGAAATGAAAAGACAAGGAAGGAGGGGAGATGAGTAAATAGACGAAGCAAGCCTGGAAGAAACTCATTATTCTTGTTCACAGGTTTCATACTTCAGTATTCACTCATGGGTTTGCAGTCATGTAACGTTGGTGTAGCAGCGCATAAAATCACTCCTGACACAAAACACGTGCTGTTTTAATTCTTTACGAAATGGCCAGAATTGAAACGCAGAGTAGAGCCATACATGCAGTTTGTTGCCAAGCGTTTCCCCCATGAGTCTGTCCTCGAGACGTTAACGTGTCAGTGGTTTTGTTCATTGTGTGCTGCCTAATTGTGCTTCTTTAATGGCTTCGTGATGCTGGAGGCTTGAGCCTTAATTAATCACCTCTCCTCCAATGTTTGTATTACACTCCAAGTCCCACACACACACAAACTGTCACAGATATTATGAGAAAGAAATGCAGCAGGGTCGATCTGCAAAACATCAACTTTGTTTTCATCTTCTAAATATGTTGATGATGTTTTTGATTATAAATGCAAATGACATTGAAATGTTTTTGATAATCTTGTTTTCTTCTCATCCATTAAAGCACAAATTAAGCATTTCTTTTTTTTCATTTTAGATTAGAGCAGGTTTTTTAGCAGCTGTGGAGACGATTAAATGCGTTTTCTGCACCCAAAATCATAAATATTAGGGTTTTTTGTCTCTGTTTGGTGTCAACTAATAATACCAAAGCTCTAACACCTGAAGTTGTTTTTGGAGATGAGCCGCAGCTGTGCCAAACTTTCTTCAGGTTTGATTTAAACTGCAGCCTGAAAAACATTCAGCCTCCTGCAGTCTCTCAGCAACCAGCACAGCCAAACCACACAGTAAAAAAGTCAAGATTTTCGAGAAGTTAATAATCAAATTTTAGATAGTCAGTTGTTTTTTTTAATGTAGATGAAAACATAAAACAAGGCAGCAGGATATGTAATATTAGTAATTAAATTTTAACTGTTGAAATTAATAAACAAAGATATATAGTTGGTAAAGTTTGTGACTCAGAGGTGTTGAAAAACTGTATTGATTGCAAGTTATTGATCTTACCTGTACCATATCTCCTAAGTTTGTCCTATTGTAAAAAAGCTAGAGAGAATATGATGATCACCAAACACTGGAGAACCAACAGCTTCAAAAGTCCTGCATAGCTGTTGTCGTCCTATCAGAGACCAGATAAATGCTCAGGATGGTGCTGAATGAGACATGCATCATGTGTGGAAGTCTTAAATGCCTTTCACATAGTTTTTATGTCTTTTGTGTGCTGCTGCAGTTAATAGTGTTCAAAGGGATTGATTTTTTTTCTGCAGGTGCAGGAGGACTAAGTTTGCACTAAAGCACTCTCTGAACTTTGGATAGACCTCCAATCTTTCAGTATCTCCTGACACCAGCAGGGTCAAGTGATTATCCAAGCCTGTGAGAACTGCTGCTGAAGGTCATGGGTCGGGTTGCAACAGTGAGACGGGTATTGATTAGTCCTGGGATACTCGGGCTGATTGAGGAGCGCAGTAACTGGCTGTTCTCTACAAGGCTTATACTTCTCCAGGACTCGCCTATTAGAGTTTTTAAAATCAAATATTTACACTTCACCTCATATTATTCTGTCAAATATTGTAGTAATAAATAATGTAAAATATATATATATACACTACCTGCTTCTCCTGAGAATTGGTGCTTTCTGTGTTTTTTCTGATGGCCACACAGCTCTCTTATAGGCCAAATAAATTTACACTGCAGAAGAAAATGCTAAATATCTGGAGATCAGATCAGGAGCTCATCTGCATACAGAAATCCTCAGACACAAATAAGTGTTTACAATTAAAATTCTGTATTTAAATGTGCTCAGTGATGGAGAGCAGTGGAGGGCAATGATGAAGACAATGATCTCCTGACACAATCACACACATTCTGGCTGTAGGGTTTAGCTCTGAATGCTTCAGGGGGAAGAGGAGGTTATGTTGCTGTGGTGATTGTGATGGAGAGCTTGTTGTTTTGATTGACGGCTTCCGTGTTTATTCGTCCCCGTGTGTGTGTGTGTGTGTGTGTGTGTGTGTGTGTTTCAGTATTGTAACTCAGTGGCCCTCTTTAGAACCCACAAGTGTCCTAATTAGCATACATTCATAAGCGGTGCGTCCCGGCAGAATGAACTGTAGATTAAAAATGAGTCAGCTTTACAACAAAACACAACTGGCAAATAATGAGAAATTAATTTACGCTTGTTTTTATTTTACAACGATGTGACTGGGGGATTTTTCTTTGTCATTTAGAGCCTATTCAAAACTTTTATTTGAGGGGTTTTGAGGCGAATTTGAGTGCTTGGACAGTGTGAAGAAGTCAGCAGGCCTGGCCCCTAATGAGCCTCTTCAAACCCTCCCTGTCTTGTTATTAAGTATTCATGATGCTGATATTTTTAACCACAGACATCAGTGTCGGGGTCGTTATAGCGAGGCTCCAAAAAACATGTCACACTGCGGCTGGATTTCCAAAAAATGGTAAAAACTGTGCCACCTAAAGTCGGCCCTGCTGTTGGTTTAAACTGGCTGAGGGGGCGAAGGCGCCATTTCGAGAAGATTCACAGCTCAGGACTCAAACAGTGGCTTATGTGAGCTCCTTGCATCACAATGAGAGACAATAGTATTTTGTCTTTTTTTAGTTTATTCCACACCATGTTCACATAAATGAAAAGTTGTTTTGTAATTCTGTTAAACATATTGTTCAACGTGGGATTTTTTTGTTTTAAATTTATTGGTGAGATTGAAGAATTTCAAGGTAGTCCTCCTTTATTATTTAATCTGTTTTAGTGCATCACTAAAGCTGGGAGGAAAACATCCTGGCAGCATGATTCTGCCACCACCATGCTTGATAGTTGACTTAGTGCTTCACTGAACTGTGGCCAGGTAGCTCTTTCTTGGTCTCATCTCACCTTAGAAACAAAAAAGTATTTGTCGTCTTGATTACAACTTCTTTCAAATGGATCTATGGCAATTTGAAACCTGAAACCTGTGTGTATCTGCTTGCTTCACGCCATCTTTCGGGATAACTCCTTCCTTTTGTCTGAGCGTAAGAGTTTAATCAGAAGGCTGAAAACAGGGCACATATTTAGATTGTTCCCTTTTCTTTAGTGTGAGATTATGTTACTGCTATAAGCTGCGGTACCCAATAAAAGTTAATATAATAAGCATGGAATCCATATTTGATAGTGTTGCTTTGAATTTGATTGCTAGTTTTGGAAAGTTTGAAAATCCCTTTGCAATGTTAATAAAATTCCAGTTAGAGGCATTCCTTCCTTTGTTTCTGTACACAAACATGCTCAGTAGTCAGTTGAGTTATAAAAATGTAATTAAAATATATATATATATATAAAACTAGATTAAGGCTGTTCACATGCCAGTTTCGTGCATTAAAGCCGACACTGAGCATCTTTGTTAATTTGGAAGTGTAGAAGAAAACAGTACGTCACCTTCCTACTTGCACATAATTCTTGTTTTCCTTCTGCCGTTATGCTTCGGTGTGTTCTTCCTCATAATGAAGCTGTTTCATTGGTGTTATTTGGTAAAAATCAAAAACACAGCATGAGAACTGGATGAGCAACCAAACACACTCGCCTCTGTTTGCAGCCAGATCACAGGATGACTGTAGGAAGCAGTTTAGGCTCGGTGTAAAGTGAGTGGGTGCTTGAAGCTGTGGATTGATAATGGTAGTGGGGGTTCTGGGTTGCTCTGTTTGTCAGGACTGGCATGGCAGAGGAAACTCTCTCTATCATTGATTTTTCTTTTTGTTTTTTGTGCTGTAGTAACATGAAAGCCGAGGCCCTGATGATACTTGAGAGAGGCTAACCCCAGATGTGCAGCTGGGGGGGTTCTGCAGTGTTGCTTTATTATGGTCCCTGTCTCTGTTTCTAACTGTTGTAGCCACAATAAGCTGAAAGACTCAGAGAAACAAAGGTTTTTGTTGGAAGCTAGGACTTTGTGCCCAGTTGTTTGGATAGTTTGTTAATTGAATGCCTCAGTGACCAAGCAAACGGTAGCGCTTCAAAGTTTTCACAAAGCTAAATACTGAAATTAGATCAAAAGGTGCACACAGTTCAAGATGGTGTGCACTTATGGAACCAGGTTATTTCATTATTCTTTCCATTTTTACATCAAAAAGATTTTTTTTCCTCTTGAATTGTGCATGAGGTAGGTGACCTCTGAAAGCTTAATTTCACTTTTCAACCTGACTTTCTTCAAATCTGAAAAAAAATATGGCTATACATAAAGGTTTTACATATTTTTTTTTCTTTGACTTTTATTTTACTTCCTCTAAAGTTTAGTATTTATGTGTAATTTATGTAGCCCTTTAGCATGTGAAACTAAGGTTGTGTGATTTGTTTGTGCCAATAAATCTGATTCTGATCCCAACAAGAGGAAAATGTTTTTGAAAGTTTTGAATATGTCAATAAATTTGTAACAACTTTTAAGATAATCTATTTCATTATTTCCCTCTTGGATCTTTCTGACAGAGTTGCAGTTTTGTAATTATTTATGCACAAAAAAAATCATTTTTTTTGTCTGTTTCAGCTCATCATATATACTTAATGTCGTGTTAAATAAGGTCTTGTAACGACACTTTGGTTTCAGCTAAAACATCAGGAATCGAACAAGGCAGAGAATATCAAACTGTATTTATTTTCATTTTAATATAATTTATACTTAATTAAAACTAAGATTGACTATTGAGTATAGTGGTGCATAAATAAAACAATAGACTTATTGTAGACATGCACAACTCTTCTCAGAATGATCCAGTAAATACGCGTCTTTAGTCTATTCCCACAGAAATCACAGTATTTCCAGTAGTGGTTTGTTCTCAAAGCAACAAAAACCAACAAGTTGCCTATAATCCTTCTTGCCCCATTATAATTGTTTTCATTGTCTCCTGTATGCAGCACCTCATGTTTGGTTGTTCTTGTCCAGGTTTCAGCGGTCAGCATTCATTTTTCGTAGCTTTGGTGGCAGGTTGTCCTCCAGCCTCCCTCCGGCTGACAGAAGTGGGCTGTGCATGGGCATTGGAGTGGGTGACAGCGTGGTGGGTGGGCTGCGCTGGTACAGGTCTCCTGTCGACTGTGTCATGGGCTCAAAGCCCACCTTGAGTGACTTGAGTTGCAGCCGATTTTGTGCTCCGGGGCTGGGGGAGGAGCTGAGCCTCTGCAGCTTCATGGGAAGGTCCCCTGTGCTGCACGCCTTCTCCGCATGCTGGGAGCTGAGCAAAAGCACCTTCCTCTGCAGGTCCTCCTTCCCCGACGAGCTCATCCTCTGCAGCTTGCTCGGCAGCCGGCCGCCCGCTCCTCCCTGACGGCCCCTCTCCTCTGAAGTGTTGATGCAATCCACGGAAAACACCCGGTTTCGCCGGGCGCCGTGGCTCTCAGTCAGTGCGGGGGTGGGAGTGGACAGAGGTGAAGGCAATGAGTTTTTCTCCTCCTGCTCTTTGACGCTGTATGGCGGTGTCGGCACCTCAAACGTGCTGTGGAACTGAGAGTAGTCCACTCTGAAGAAGCCTTCCTCCAGAGACATGACGGGCAGGAAGCGGTGGCCCCATAAAACCTCGTCTTCAGTGTATGACGTCCGCGCTTGGCATGTCATTCCTGCAAAACAGTGACGGATGAGTAATTATCTCAGTGACTTTCAATTAGTGAGGTCCAAATTAAGCATGCCTGTATTACTGAAAAACAAATTAATCACATGAAAAGCAATACTAAACTACATTTAATGGATGTCTCAGTTCAGGAAAGCAAATACAAGCTCTTAAAACCTAATATATTCATGTCTTTTCTAGTCACAAAGCATGCCTAATGTACTGTAGTGAAATAACAAGGATGACATTGCAAGAAGCAAAGCGTCTTTATATACGGTTGGAATAAGTGAAATCTTTCCGGGCTGCAGTTTGTAGAACCGTGTTGTGAGTTTATGTAATTTTCCGCTGCGGGTGTAAATTAGGATTGTGATTAGTGTGCATTGTTAGATGTGATGACAACCAGTAAAAACACAGCAAAAACACAAAATCTTACTAAGTATTTTTGTCTAGTTTCTAGTGCAAATGAATGGGTACACTTGAAATAGGACTAAACTAGCTAACAAATAACTTTTCAGCAACATATAAGTGCTTGTTTTAAGTCAATAATTCCATGATATTGATGGAAAATTACTAGTTCCTCTGTCAGATTATTTCACTTATGGGAAAAATGTCTTGTTAAAAGTGAAATAATCTTTCAGAGGAACGTGGAACTTATTCATCAATATTAAGAAATCCTTCACTTGAAACAAGCACTTATATCCTGCTGAAAAGTTACTTGTAAGTTAGTTTTGTCTTGTATATCAAGGATATGCAGATATTTGCACTAGAAACTGGAAAAAATAAATATATACTTGGTAAGATTTTGTGTATTTGAGATGAAGTTGAATAACTTCAGTCAGCAGCCACTCACATACACACATCAGAGTTTTTAGATGTGCACTGCTCCTTCATGTGGACTTAAACTCTGTATTTTTTTTTACGGTAAGGGTACAGCAGAAGATTTACAGTAACCACACTGAGGTTGCTGTGTTGTTTCGTGGATAAAAAGAGCAGAGCTAAACGGAGATGGTTGTATTTGACTCCACAAATACAAAAGTGAAATGAGCTTCCGATAAAATAAATAAATAAATTCTGGTTTAATCTAAGAAATAGAAGAAGAAATCTGACCTACATGGAAGAGTTTGAAAAACAAAACGTCATTGTTGATAGCCTGGACAGAGGAGACTGAAACAGAGCTTCCTGGCAGACATTCAAATAACTTTTTAGGGTGGAAACTAAAACAGTTTATCGCTCTGAACCTACCATAAAAATGCTCCCTGAAGCAGCAGCTGATCAATTGATGGGAAGGTCAGATGTAAGTCAAGTCTACAACCACCTGCTTGAGGCTGAGAAGGACTTGAAACTGAGGCGGAGTCTCGACTTCCAGCAGGACAGAGACCGTCAACATTCAGCCAGAACTACAGTGGACTAGTTTAGATCAAAACACATTGATGTGTTTAACTGGCCCAGTCAAAGTCCGGATCTAAAAAAATAATAATTTCAGTCTGTACATCCGCAAAGCTATTATAGAAATAGTAATTACCGCTTGCAGCCTTAATTGCAGCAGATAGTGTTATAAGATTTTTACTTTCTTCCACTTCACATGTTTGCCCTACTTTTTGCTGCTCTGTAGCATTGAGTCCCTAAGAGATGAAAGACATTGTAGTTTGATGTTTTAATGTGACAAAATCTGAAAAAACTTCAAGTGGCAAGAATATGTTTGCAAGTAACTCTTCATCTGCCAGCTGGCATTCTTTATTGGAGCAGCAAGAAGCACAGAATAAGATATAATGACCTGCAGAAGGTTTAAACCCGTCTTAGTCAACTTAGACTGGTTTGTGAATAAGCCAAGCTTCCTTGTGATCTTCATCAATACTGTTCTTTGGAAGGCTTTCACTAAATCTTTCCCCGTCTGCTCATTTTCTGTCCTGTCTTTGTTAGTTTTATTGGTATAAGTGGCTTAAAAAAATGAATTCCTTTCATGCACCAAACTGAAATGGAGCCAATGTCCAAAGAAAAAATAGTCATTTCTAAATATTAATATTAAATTTGCAATGGACTGACTGGCATTTTAAGTCTCAATTCTACTCACTTTGTGCTTTTGCTGCATTGTAGAGAAAAGCTGTACACCAATTGTCCCAGTGGAGATAATTTTTGCAATGTGCTGTAAAAACTCTCATATTTATTTCATTTAGAAGAATAATTGTTTTTGGAGGTTTATGATGATCAATAAGTGCACAGCTGTAATTTGTGTGTTGCAGTCTGAGTTTCTGTGGAGCTCTGCGGTTAGCTGAAGAGTAGGAGTATTATCACGTACCTCTGAGCGACGACGGGTGCAGTGTTATGTCATAGCCTGATTCTATTCCCGGCTCACCACACTTCATCTAACAAAACCATTTAACAGCCCTACATTACCTCAAAGGTCACCTTTTTTAAAGTACTTTAGCCTAAAGTCTTGGCTCTGATTACAACGACGAGCGCTGTGTTAATTTTCAAGCACTTTTGTTATTTGAAGAGGGCTGTTTTTGTCTATTTCCCCCCTCATTTTGGTCAACACACATGACAACAGCAATACAGGAGCATTGGAGGCTTGTGGGTTTTGTGCCTGACAGGCATGCCATTTTAGCTTCATATCTCAGGCATCATATGGGTATCCACCCACCTGGATAATGTTCACTGCATCTTGCATAAAAATAAAAGCCCCCCAGCAACACAAATACTTGGCAGACAGCAAGCCGGACATCCCAGAAGAAGGTTCTTGTGAACATTTCTGGCAGCAGCTTTCACTGAATCTTAGCTTTGGGATGCATGAACCGAGGTTCTGAGGCTTGTGTTGAGTTTCAGGCGAAGTGGAAATTTCTGGGTTGTATTGTTCTGTCAGGAACAGATATTTAACTGGTTTATTTGGCAATTCCTTCATAGACTTTTGTTGCCAATTTTGAAGCATAATTCATCCTGCTGTTTGTGTGACATTTACTTAATGAAATGTTTCACCTCATAACAGGTGATTTTTTTTTTTTGTCATTTAAAATGTTTTTCATTCATTCTACTTTGATGTTTGCACTTGCAGATTCTGCAAGTCTTCAGAAGATTTCATCACAGCAAAATTAAACAAACCTTTTATATGACGTTAGAATTGAGGCGAAAACCACTCAGTCCAACTATATGGTGCAGTTGAGAGCAAAGTTATTCAGATTTAGACATGGCCATTCTTCTGGTTAGAAATGACACAGGGATTTCATAAAAATGCGTGTTTAAGATTATTTACACCCTTCTTACACCCACTCTTTATTAGCATTACAGCAGTCAGACCCTGTGTGTATTTTCCGGACTGTAGAGCGCACCTCACTATAAGCCGCACCCATAAAGTTAAAAAAAAAAAAAAAACTGGAAACATACATATATAAACCGCACCTGGCTATAAGCCGCTGGTTTCTCCGCCGCTCGGTTATCCACAAGGAAAATAAATCTCCTGAATAAATCTGCCGATGCGGAACCACAGATTCGTTCACGCCGACCTTACATGCAGCGGCTATTAATCCATACTGCCAGATTGATAGCCTTCGACTTAAAGCTGCATCATATGAACTTCTTCATGTTGTTTCCTTGATGAGGGGGTATGAGTTTGAAAACATTTGTCCGTTGCGCCTGCTGCTCGCTTGTTCTAAACAAAAATTAGCACTTTCTTCTTCGATTTCCAATTTTGACTTCCAATGACTCGCTTCCTTAAGTGAGTCATCAGTTGCCCCCTGGTGGTTGAAGAAAAATCCACAGAAAAGCTGCACCGGGCTTTAAGCCGCATGGCTCAAAGCGTGGGGGAAAAGTAGCGGCTTATAGTCCGAAAAATACGGCAATTTCTGACTAGCATTTTTACGTTTCTAGTGCTATTTTTTACCATTTATTTTTGATGATGACATCCAAGTGCTTAAAATTTGAAGAGCCTAATCTTTAGCTTTGTCCAGATTTAAATGGAAACGTATTGGTAAAAATTTCAGTGCATTGGGCTTATGTGTGTGTCTTTATGGTTAGTGGTGACGTTTTTCTATTTCTGTGTATTTTAGGAGGATAAACCTTTACCCTGGCTGTTATTTATTTGTGCCTTTAATGCATAAGTGGAATCCAAACTATTTTGTTGAGTTTAAAAGTCAAATTCAGATTTTATTCGTTTGAAATGAAGTCGAAAGCCTTTAATGTTTGTACTTTTTGCTAACAATTATAAATGATCTGCCCACTAAGCTGTCTGGGTCAAGAAGAAAATGAAATGTCAGGACCTGCAAGATGTACATGAGACCTTGTGTAGGTGTTGCAGTTTGAGTATTTTAACATATTTCCTTCTCAGCGGCGCTGCGATGTTAATAAGATGAGCTGTTGCTCTCACGCTGATCCTTCCCTCCTGCCTCCCTCTGAGCTCTGTTGTCTCCACTACAAAAGTGGCAGAGTGCAGCAGGACGGATGGAGTCAGCGCAGAAGAGGGAAGATGAATTTATTTGCATTGGACTGTAGGGAGGAATCGTTCTGTTAAATATGCAACAGGGGGATCAGTGTTGCTGCTGAGGATTTTCTCTGCAGTAAGCAGGCTGTTCACCAACTCCTGCTTCTAACCGTCATCAGAGAAATGCTGCATGGAAACTCGGCACATTCATCACAGTGATGCACACTCCTGTGACCACAGGCATTTATTATGCATACAGTGGGCTTAAACTGATTATGGAGTAATAAAATATTCCTCATAATTCAATCAGGCGCTCATTCATATGTCATTCTTTCTCTTCTCTCTTTTTTTTAACATGAAAAATAGAAAAATAAGTTAATATTTACATTTTAACGCTGTGTGAATACTGAAGATAGGAATCGGTGGCAGCAGAAAAGTGGTAACAGGAACGGCTTTCTCACCCGTGGTCTCCACGATGCCCTCGAGGATAACGACGATCTCAAATTGTTCGTTCATGAGGGAGCGCTGCGATAAGTCGAAAAACGGACTTTTGGGATTTATTTCATGGCAGATTGTGAGAGGAGACACCAGGAAGAGCTGGTCTGCTCCCGTCCCGAAGCCGACGTCCAGCTCACACTGGTCCAGTGGCAGGAACTCTCCTTCAGGCGTCTGACGAGACTGGAGGATAGAATGGGAGCAAAAGAAGGAAGAGGCATTAAGTAAGAAGCATCACATAACAGGGACTTAGATGCCAAACATTCAGGATTTTCAGACAGTTGCATTAGTCTCAGAAGAATGAACACCTAATAAAATGTTTGCTTCCCTCATGATGAAGTCCTGAATATTTCAGCTCCTTGTAATTTAAATAATTTCTATACACCAGATCTGCAGGTTTGCTCCAAAACCAATCATTCTTTCTGGATGCCCAACAACGTGGTTCTTACCTTTTTTGTTTTTTCTTTTTTGCCAGAAAGTGTTTCTGAATACATGCACGAGCAATCCTCCTACACAAAAATCTCCACCTCTGCACCGCTCACAGCTTCTTTATCATCTCCCACACAAATACATGCATCCCATCTCTGCTCCCTTCCAAACAAACAAGAAAATATTCATGAAGTTTTACAAGAATCACTTCTCACAAACTATGTAGTTTTTAGCATTTTAGCATTTATGTAGCTATGGCATAAAAAGTTAAAGTAAGTATTTACAAAAAGGTCAAATAGTAGTGATGAAGTACTTAATATTTTTAAATAAAGTTAAAAAAATATGTAAGGAGGCTGATTTGTGCCATAGTGTTACCTTAAACCATTTAGTCCAGCCTTGAGGATATGTTACTGCTTCATTATTTAGGCTACATTAGCGATAGTATTTCGGCTTCGTCATCTCTGTGCCAAATCCTGTCATCCTCCACAATAAGCTTTTTCACAGTGGAAATCTACTTCACCCATACAGTAGTGGCATATAGAAACCTTAAGGATATTTCTTAATATTTAAAGGATTTGAGTGGCAGTTAGAAATAAACCAGTTACACATGCTAACAGCTTGAGCAAATACACATCTAGAGGTCAACTTTTTGTCTTTGTTCTGGTTTAAAACATCAACATTAGGGCTGGGAGATGTAAGCATAGTGTTCAAAAGCATGTTTGCATGATAAGAATTTTGCTTTATAATAACAAAGACATTTTCATTAAGGTTTGCAAACCCAGAAAACTGCCAGTGCTGTGATTATTGCTTGCTGTTTGAAATATTTATTTTATCCCAGTATTGGTTCATAATGTTGCGGTGAAACAAGTTTGAAGCTTCAACATAAAGAAAAAGCACTTAGACTCTTATTGCATATGATTAAAATGTCTGGTGGTTCTACTGTTTTTTGTTCCACAATAAAATAACTTAAAAACATTGCTGCATTTTTTTTCTCATTTTAATTAGATACTAGTTAATATAGTACCTTGATTTCTCTCCCTATTGTAATTGTGACACTTATAATTTCATCAGAGATGGTGCTGCATTGCTGATATAGCAAAAGCATTCTTCAGTGGATATTTATGTAGAATAGTGCATTGTTCTCCTTTTATTTAATTTATGTGTGTGTGTGTGTGTGTGTGTGTGTGTGTGTGTGTGTGTGTGTGTGTGTGTGTTGGTCGCAAAGAATTTTAATTTCACATCAGCTATTGGTTGCTAAAGGTCATTCAGTAGTGCTTGCTCCAAATGACTATTTTTTTTGTAAACATTTTATTTTTAATAGTTATTTACATTTAATCTTTATTGGGTTACTATTGCTAGTACCCGAAATGATCCTCTACATTGTTTGTTTGTACTGTCGACACAATAAGGTGTTATTCCTCTGATTTTTGCCCATATTGAGACGACCGTATCACACATTTGCAGCAGGATTTTATTTTTTGGTTGCAGTATGTTGAACCTCCTGTTTCACCACATCTTGGAAGAAGTCTGTTGCATTGAGATCGGGTAACCATGAAGGTCACTGGACCAAAGTGAACTTATGTTCCAGGAACCAGTTTGAGACTATATGAGCAAACAAAATGAGTGTTTCAGGCTCATGTCAGTTTGCCTTATCCAGGTATTGCTGGTATTTCTCTCTCACACACACCAGGTGAAAAGAGTGGCAGCAATGCACTTATATAGCTGGTGTTAGTGCAGGTCTTATTTTTTTTATCCAAGCTTTATGCATCCTGCAGACATATTACTCAGAGTCGAGTATCATTCTGACCTCCCGGGAATTTCACTCTGCACTGCGTCCGTCTGAGACACAAACTGTGGAAGAGGGGTGAGTAAACAGGCTTTGGATTGCCAGAAAACACCAGCTTTTTTCCTTCTCCTGTGCATGTCAGTGAAATGCCCCCATTTTAGTAGGAGAAGGCCTTTGATGCTGGTTCGGAGAGTGTTCGAATGTTTGGCCCTTCCAGGCTGCTGAATCCTGTTTGGTGTCATTCCCTCCATGAGGGTGAGCTCGGGATAGCTTTGGGAAGTTCTGCATTTCATTTTCTGTCTTTGTCACTTAAGATTTAGAAGATGGATGACTGTATGCAAATACTGACTGTTGAAGCTCCTCACATAGGGCCCATGGCAAAGTGCTGCGCTCCCCCCTGCACAGAGATTCAGAGATAGACGAGCTTGTCGACTGTCTGTTTGTTTTTTTTCTTCTTTGAATCTGACATGCTATTCTAACAAAAGAGCAGATTTCCATCCTGAACCTCAGAGGATGGGACAACAAACTCATTGTATTCATTTTATTCAATGCTTTTAGGGAAATGGTGCAGAAAAAGAACTAGACATTTGTGTTGGAGAGAAATGGTTACATTTGCATGTCAGTAGAAGTGTAGCTGTTTTTTTTATTCTCATAAGACATGAAGATTTCATTGATCTTTACAACCAGAATAAAGTGCCCATACGTTCTGCTAGAACAGGATTACTCAGTATCCACAGAATCGAAAGATGATGAGTTTAACCTGTCATTCACGAAAGGACCCAAATTTGGGTCCTCTCGTGACAGGGGTGTCAAACTCCAGTCCTCAAGGGCCTCTGTCCTGCAACTTTTAGATGTGCCTCTGCTGCACCACACCTGAAAAGAATAATTAGGTCATTAGCAAGGCTCTGGAGAACCGATCTACACAGGGAGGAGGTAATTAAGCCATTTCATTCCACTGTTTTTTACCTGTGGCACATCTAAACACTGCAGGACAGCGGCCCTTGAGGACTGGAGTTTGACACCCCTGTCATTGTGAATGACAACCTGTGAACAACAGGTTAAAGATTCACCATTCCCTCTTGAACAATTTCTCTGGATCTCTCAGTCTCTTGTATGCTCTTCTATTCTGTTCTATCCATAGATTTTCAATAGGGTTCCAGTCTCGATAGTGGCTCTACCACAGACAAATGGTGATTTTATGTCGGGTGGTGGTGTATCCATACCTTTTGTTATCTTGATAAAATACCCATAGATGGTTTATTTTCAGATGAGTAACAAGGTCACAGCAATAGGTATGAGGATCTTTTCTCAAATATTCAGCCCATGTTTTATTGTGTGTTAGTTGGCGAATAGCTTAGTCATTGTCAAGTCTGACCAAAGCTCGCCATTCCAGTTGAACGCCTAGTAGCATTAAGCAAACTCCAACAGTGAACTTTGGAGATCTTTGTGCCTCTCATACCGTCTTCCTCACTGTATGCGATGTCAAGAAAAACTCAGATCCTTTCCCAGTCTTGCTCGTCAAAGGATCCTGATCTATTCTGAGATTTTTCCTGTAAAATTTTAAGTTACAGCGCACTGCATAAAACACAGAATCTTACTAGGTATTCTGGTTTAGTTTCTAGTGCAAGTATCTTAGTACACTGAAAAGGATATATTGGTGAAACATGCAGTAATAATTAGACAACTGCTGCACACGAACACTTGAATAACTTTAAATTAAATCCTGCAATGATGATAAGAAATCCTGGCCACTGTGTCTCATTATTTATTGGCTAGACTTTATGTAAGTGTGTCTAAAATAAGATTACTGTGGAGGCTTGTGTTCTTTCAATATTAAAAATTAGACACTAATGGATGGTGCTTGAAATATGAAGTCTAATCATTTTCTTTTTAGGCTTTGCGCTCTTTTTTTTGTTCCCCTTTCCCTGTTTAAGTATGTTTTAGTTCTTTGTATGGCACTTAGCAGCAGAGAGGTGTGTCAAAATGTCATTCGAAATTATACTGTACAGGCTCCTAAATCAGAAACAAAATGGCATTTTAGTCTTTTCAAGTTCTGAAGGTTCATGCACACCGTCGGTGTTTGTGAACGGGTGCGTAGGAGGAAAACATCCACAGACTAGAGAGAATTGAACTTCTGCAAATGTATTGCTTGTAAAATACTTCACCGGGGGGAAAAGACGTCACACCTTTTTCCAAAGCAAAACCTGCAGTTTGGAAACAGTTTGATGCAGATAGCTAAACAGAGTTTAGATGTCTTGGACAGATGTGAGCAGAAAACCTTCGCTGTGCGCAAGTTGTAAGAACTTGTGTAAAAAAAAAAAAAGTTTAAATAGTAGGGCCTTGAGCTGCAGAGATTTGAAAAGATTTTTGGGTTTGAGGCTGACTAATCAATGCCTGCAGAGCTCCCTCCAGCAATCCTCCGCTCAATCATGCAGTTGGAACTGGTTCGTATTGGGAAAGCAATACTGAGAATATTTCACTTATGCCTGAAATAGATGGCACCTCTCAAGTACTGAAAATACATAAAAAACATGTTACTCATTTTTATTTGAGCTGGGGGTTTTTATGCCATTTTTTTCCCCACTTAGTCCTTTACATGCCCACCCTCCCTCCATCCTCCCAGTAAAACCAGTTAACATTTCGGGGAGGATTATTTACCAGCACGCCCTTCGAAGCTGTCAGACACCCAACAGAGCTGCCACTCTGTGGGTGACGGCTCTCACTGGTCTGTTTCACCCCATTTTCTGCCTCCTGTCGTCAAGCAATCCTCCACTACATCCCAGCAGGTCTGCAGGCTACCGACATGATGCCCAGAGCCGTGCAAACTGGAACATGCATTCTTGTGAATGTTTCCTTCTAATTTCTTTTCCAAACCATCTTTTTGTGGAATCGGCTGCAAACTTTGTTCATAGTTCAAAGTGTCTGCAGATGGCAACTTCAAAGTGTTGCCATTCTCATTTGAATTTGTGTGTAAATTTGGCCAAATCATATGATCTGTTCCATCGTAGCTTTGACTGAAGTGGAATTTTCACTCTCTAGATCTGAACAAGTAAAAAAAAAATCATTTAATTCAGTGGAAAATTTCATTTTCTTCATTTTACACGGATTTCTATAAAAATGCAATCTTTTAATTTCCCACATTACAATACAAACATTTTCCTTGTCAGTGTAGACTCAATGCACACTGCATAAATCAAGAAAGAGGTACTTAAGACTTTTATGAACTGAAAAGTGATGTAAATTTGGGTCAAACTGGAAATGCATCTCTTGAACTGGATCTAGAACTTGGTTTTTGTTTGAATCCAGGTAGCATTTAGGGATGGGCAACACGGACTTCAAATTTTATCACAATAATTTGCAGAAATTATTGTAAGAGCTATAAGAGATAATTAAATATATCCCTGCAATGATTTTCTGTTTTTGGCAGTAGTTTAGTAATGGTAAGCCCATCGTATTTTCATATTTACTCAATGTTCGTATAGAAACATCAGTGGAAAAACAGTTATTGTGTTTGGCAAACTATGATTAGTTTATTGTAGTCACAATTGTTTGTGATAATCATGAATAATATAATAATTAACCATATCCAGCAATCAAAATCACACTGATAAAATAAACTTTTTTGCACTGTGCAGGAAATATTATTCATGTTTTTTTTAGTAAAGCCGACACTTTGGCAAAATGTCTCCACCACCAGGTCTCTCCTGCAGACCAGCGGAGAGGCAGATTGCTGCCAGACTCTCCAAACATGTGAGCCAAAACGTCTTACTCTGGCGTCCTGGGCATCACCAAAGGCCAAAAGGAGAACCAACATGCAGCATGAAGGCGTAGGCAGATGGCCACAGACCCATTTCAAACCAAAAAGGGTCAGTGGGTCTATGGATTGCACTCAGAGTGATGAAAGACTGCAGCTTTTATCCTACACAGTAGCACTTTTGTCAGCTCTATCCACATATCACCGCTGAATATGACATGTAGAGTAGTGATATACTTAGTAAAGGTCATATTTGCCGTCATTAAGTAAAAGTGGCTGCATTGTTTTGATCATTTTCTAAAAGAAAAAGTTGCATCTTGCCACAGTTCTGCTTATTCCAAGAATGTTTCTTTTAATATAAGTGTCATGTAAAATGTTTAATAACCTCTGGCAATATTTCCTGGCCTGCTCAACTTCTAATTAATCAAAGTTTTAGATTAGATGTGTTAAAATTAAAGAATTAACACATAATCAAAAGGGGGAAAATAATAAAAGGGAGGAAATTATTATGTTTTACTCAATTATGAACATAAACCATCTTCCATCAATTTTCTTGACTCAACAGCTTTATTTTTAATAGATATCAACACTGATGTGGATACTTGGATTGTATTTTCGGTTGGATAACCAGAATTAATTTTGAGCCAATCGACAACCAAAGAGCCAGATTAATAAGGGAGGCACCCTTATTAATGTCTGCCAAAATCTGCAGAGCAATTCATCATGTAACTGTGAGAAACGGAAAGCTGAAAACCAGAAAAAACCCACCCAGGTTTTCCGTTTGCTTCAGTTAAACAGGGCAGTGTTGATCATGTCTGCACTAAAAGAGAAGAAAACCAATTATTTGGTTCTGCATGTCTGTGTCAGATGTAAGGGAAACATGAGGAACTGCTTGTCTTATCTCAATGAAGTGGCATTTCTTCACATTTCTATAATATGAATCTGTGAAAAATATCCTCACAGTGCAGGGTGCAAGTTTTTTTTTTCACAAACACATTGACATAGTCACTAAGTTAAACTGAAATCTCCAAAGACTAGGGACCCCCTATAAAAACTGCCTATTTTAAACATACCTTTAATATTCTTTGATACGTACAACAGAAACCACTGTGGTGCAGATGCTAATATCTGTTCTTCCTTAACTCCACTCCTGGAAACTATAGCCAATCGATGAAAGGTGCTTCTGGATTGGCTGCTTTGCTACCGATAGCTAATAGCATGTCAAGTAGCATTGCAGATGGGTATTTCTACTCCCAAAGCTGCCTTTTCTTTTGAATATTTGAGAAAATAACCCACAAATATGCACATTTTGTAGTTATGTTCCACAGAAAAATCATGCAGAGGTTGATAATAGTTGAAAAGTCATTTTTTATGATCCATCTGCCAGGTTGTCAGTCAGGTTGTGCCAGGTTCAACTTCATTTCTCAGACATGACAGACGCCCATCTGCTCTACAGTAAAACTGGCATGTCTTCTATTGCACTCATGTTTGCTTTCATAAATTTTCATAAGGCTGCACAATATATTGACTCACAGACATAATCACAGTACCAGTGTGTGCAGTATCGCCGTTGCAAAGGACTGTTTGGATGCAGTATTTGGTAGATTATTAAATTTAAACCTCAGGGATTCATGCTCTGGATATCAGTGACGTATTCGGTCAATGGCATGAGTTTTAAGTGCACTTTCTGCAAACAATTACATTGTGTAATGGCACGGAAAGATTAAAGTCATAAAAAAAACGTGGGTTAATCACAATAAAAGTCGTCATTGCACTTTTCAGCAGTGGTATCAGAATTACATATTTTCCAGATATCCTAATCTTTAATACATGCTGTTACTGAGAAAATGTCAAAATAAAAACTGAAAAATGTATATAAAGCCAGGAGAACTGTAGCTTAAGGTCACTTTAAAGTACATCAAATAAGTGTTCCTCCTTGGAGGCAAAGTACAGTTTAGTTTGAACTTCTAACACAATTTAAAGTGAGTTAAAATCACTCCAATAACACTTTTAAAATGTGTTCATATGTGAAATTATTTGAAATACTACAGGACTGTATCAGCTGTTCATTTACTCACAGCTTTAGGATCAGGCTGGAGTCAAAGTTTGCCCCCCCGTCTCTAACAGCTTTAAAATATCTCCTCTCTCTTCTTTGTATTTTCCTTTGAGCCCTGAATGAGACGGAGCTGTAGCTCAACAGCACCACCAACATCTCCAAGAGGGAAGCGCATGTCCAGCATTCAGCTTGAATAATTTTTCATTTATCCAAAAAACTTATGTGGCATGTGATATTTAAAGGCATTTGCATAGCAAACAACGCATTTGTTTCCGGAGTGACTCACCTGATCCGTTTGTCTCTTTGGTGATTTGCGCTCTGGCAGAGCTGCAGTATGGGTAAGAGAGTTTTTGAAGCGAGAGAACAAGGTTAGACCACAAAGCCCTGGAGCAAATGTAAGTGTACGGTGGTTGCCATGTTTATTTATTTTTTTCACAGAAAGAGAAACTGTGCAAATTTTGTACAGTTTGCAGCAAGATTTGGAAGCTCATGTCTAGTTTTCCAAAGATAAAAAAGACGTTTCAGACTATGCTGGGTTCAAAGGTTTATAACATCGGCTCCCATTTTTTGCTTTATAATTTTTTTCATTTCCCAAGACTATTTAGATGATATCACACATATTAAAGGTTGTATGTAGACTTTGCTACACAGGAGATTTGTGGTAAAGTTTTGTGACTCTACTTCCCGTTTGTGGGTCTGTTACCCTCCTTCGTGCTCCTCAGTGTGGAGCAGCTCTATCCTCCCTGCCTCCTGCTCTCCGCCTGCCTACATGCATCATTAAGCTGACCAACGCTGTGTGTGGAAGAGAACACAGACATAAACAAGCTCCAAGCACATCGCTAATGCAGTTTGTCTTCTTTTATGGCCCATTTTGCTCACCGAACATGGATGTGGCTGAAAGGAGCTCCGTGGTGATAATTAAAAGAAGAGCCAGCGGACCTCGCCGCTGTTTGTGTTGTAATTTTCTGCATTGCTGCTCATTTTCAGAGTGTGAGGTTCATTAGCTGTGTTAACTACAAAATAAAAAAAAAAACCTGCTGAGTGCTTCATTAGTAGAGTTGTTCATTTCCTTCTGTTTTAACTTCTTTTAACGGTTTTCGAAGATTGCAGTTGAAGTTTGCATCCAACGTTGGGGATCTCCTCACTTTCTCTGCATCTTCCAGTCACATTAACTCAGAATCTCCAGTTTTTGTGAAGAAACTGAGGTAACCGTCCACTCTGCAGCTCTCCAGTCATAATCCATCACTGCCTTTTCACACAGATCCTGATGGTTTGAGGTTTACCAGCCTATAGATCTGCCAACCAACCTCATGCACGGGGATTATCCTAATTCTACCTTAAATCTGCTTTGTTAAACAAGGTGTGCATGTGTAAAATGGTCTATTTTCGTGCAGCTGAGGATCAAATGTTAATTTTAACCTTTTGCTTTATTTGAAGTTGCTACTTTTATTCCAAAGAAGCCAAAGTGAATAAGGTCTCTTCAGATATAAGCTGTCAGTCAAGAGTGCAGCCGTGTATATATATATATATATATATATATATATATATATATATATATATATATATATATATATATATATATATATAATATACAAATGAAAGAACTGTGTCATGCATGAGAGGAAAATAATAGTTTAAAGGTTTAATTCATAAAGTAGAGCAGGTAGAGTAAAGTACAACCAGCCTCTCATCTGCATTACTTTGTGAAAAAAAAAAAACTCAGAATGTCTGATGCATTCAGCTTCTATTCATCACAAATCTGGAACTAACTTCCAGAAAACTGCAAAACAGCTGAAACACTGAGTACTCTAGATCTAGTCTAAAAACCCAGCTGTTTTAAGCTGCCTTTGGTTTGCATAAGTGGAACATAGATTGACATATTTGATGTGTATTTATTTTATAATTTTGATTATGGAAATATGTTTTTTGCTTGTTTCATAATTGGTGACTGTTTGATGTTTTTATGACGTAAAGCACTTTGAATTTTCTTGTTGCTTAATTATGCTACACAAATAAACTTGACTTGTTCCACTTGGCGTTGCGCTAAGTTGCGCATTCTGCTTACCTTTATGAGTTTGCACCTGATCTGCGCGGACACCATGTGGCTGTTGCGCAGGTTGCCCACTCGGAACATGAGGCAGAGTTTGCCGTCTCTTTGGGAAATCACTGCGTCCTGGCTGAACATGAGCGTCTCCGCGCGTTTCTTAGGCTGGGACATTTTGATGAACATGCAGCCGATGAGGAAGGCGTCCACGATGGAGCCCAGCAGCGACTGGAACAGGAAGAGGATGATCCCCTCCGGGCACTTCTCGGTGATGTACCGGTAGCCGTAGCCGATGGTGGCCTCGGTCTCGATGAAAAAGAGGAACGCTGAAGGGAAGTTGTAAACGTTCGCCACGCAGGGGGTGTAGGACGGATCGTGGCCGTGATTTAGATCCCCCCTGATGTAAGCAATGATCCACCACATCGATGCCATGACGAGCCAAGCGATGGTGTAGGTGAGGATGAAGATGAGCAGGTTCCAGCGCCACTTCAGGTCCACCAGGGTGGTGAACAGGTCGGAGAGGTACCTGCTGGTCTCCCCGCCGAGGTTTCCGTGCTGCACGTTGCAGCGGCCGTTCTTCTCCACGAAGCGTTGGCGTTTCTTCTTCACCGGGGCAGAGAAAGTAGTTGCCCGGTTGGTGTTAACCACCTGGTAGTCTTCTCCAAATTTCCTCCGAAGTGCTGCCATGTCCGCCCGTCTGGTGTTAACTAGCGCAACAGTCGCAGTTTAATCCATGATGTGTTTAGAGTTTTAGTCTCCAACGGATTGGTTACCTGCAGTGCGTAAAATACGCCATGGCCACTTCAGTGCGCACAGCGGATCCTGGGAATTATGAAAAACAAAAGCAAACAAACAAAAAAAATAAATAAATACCTGCTGCCTCTTTGCTTTTATTACACAATAGGTATTCGCTTGCTGAAAAGCTCCGCTGTCCTCTTGGTTATTTCACATCACACCAACGAGTCTCTGCTCTTCTCCGTGCGCTCTCCTCAGCCTCTGTGTGTTCCGACTGACGCGTCGCTCAGTAGCGCAGGAGCCGTCCACCACACACCGCTTCTGGTGGGACGTTATGGTTAAAGAGAGAAGAGGGAGTACTGGAGATGCAGAGAGAGGAAGGGAAAGGGGCAGGAAAAGAGGAGGAGAGAGTTACACAATATGAGAGGTGGGCAGCTTGACTCCAGTTCAGCTGGTCAGTTAATAGATCATAGGTTCATTCTGAAAAATTAACCAGATGGATAATTTATTCCTCTTCTTTTTTCATGAGAGTTTTAATTAAGCTGTATTCTCCTGTGTGATTAAGGAGCATTGATGGAAGATAAAAACAAATATTTAAATTGATAATATTAGAGAATCATAGGACTAAGTCAAACGGTGCCACCTGCTGGATGGGCCGTCCATGTGCATTTAAAACCTGACCAACTGGGGTGCAGGTGATCTGGCGCTACAAGTAGCTATGACAGTGTTCAGAAAAGTATTCACACCCTTGGAGGGGAGAAAAAAAGTTTGTAGTGCATTTATATTCAGCTTCCATTATTTTAGTTCTGCTTAGTAAAAATCCAAGTTGTCTTCAGGAATCACTTTATTAATAATGATTTAGTAGAGTCCAGATGTTTACAAATTATTGAGAAGAATCCAGCTGTTCTTTAAGAACCTCTGGCGTTTTGTTAGAGAATATACAGACTTCCTTAGCCATAAAGTCTAAGAAACACAACAGATAGATCTGGAAGAAACCAGGTGTAAAGTTTAAGCAGTAAAAGACGCTGAATGTAATGAATCATATAGGGAGTATTTTTTTTTATATATATGTAGAAATGAGGATAAAGGAAGAGAGGTGACACCATGTTGGATGGCTTCTATAGGCTGTTGGAGGTTTTTCAGAGATGGATTCTGCTGCTGCTGTTTAAAACTCAGGTCACAGATTGCACCACACTGTGACATCACATCATTATCTCCCTACTCCCATTATTATTATTATTATTATTTTTTTACTAGTGGTTTGAGAGGAACATTCTCTGGTCTGAACGAGATATATATATATATATATATATAATATATATATATGTGTGTGTGTGTAATCTCCACCACCTAAAAGCATATTTTTTGCAAATTATTTCTAAAAAGAAAAAAATGTGTGTAAAGCATCATATACAAGACACTTAGTTGCACTTATTCATTTAAAACCAGGCAAAAATTTAGTTCAGCATCTATTCGTTTTATCTTATGTGCACATTCAAAATTAAAATACAAAACTGTACAAGATTTTATCCACAAAAGTATTGGATCATATCAGAGGTACATTTGTCATTTCGCGAACATCTGCCAAAAAAATGCACCTTTGTTATCGTTAACAAAAGATCAGGATGGGAAAATGGCTGCTTCACAGAATACAAAGGAGCTGAATGTCGACTATTTCATAAGATCCGATTTTACGGTACTAAATGTTAGATCTGATAATCTTACATCAGATGACAAAATCCACTTTAAAACTGAGTGATCTGATGTAAGATTTGATTTTAAAGGCGAAATGAAGAATCTGTCTTGTTGATGATTTAATTTTCAGATAGTAAATGTTTTCAAGTGTCACACAAGCTGCATTTGTTTTTATCAGAACCCTGTTTAAATCTGATTCTGCTGATGATTTATATGATTTTGAGGCACTGCAGTCAAGTCAGTCTTGATATACAAGAAGTCAAATGCCTCTTGAACATTTTTAAAGCCAAATTTACCATTTACTCCACCTTTGTTATCAAAAATAGATCATTGTAAATCAATCTTTCTTTCTTTTGTTTGTTTACGATGGATAATACACTTGGTTAGCCACTAAACTTTGTACAAAAAATCTATCAGTTGGCAAGTAAATATGTTTGTCTTGCGCTCACTTCTGTGCAACCTGCTGAGGGTCTTTTATCTCAGCAGAGGGAGCTCATGCACAGCGACGATCCCCCCGAGATTTGAGGATTAGAGTGCGGGCAGCCAGGACTGCCATCTGTTATGTGGAAACGCCATCAGGCTTTCCCACACAGAGAAATCCAAATTAGCATAACACAGGAGATCACAAGATCTTATCTCGTCTTCCTAACTGGAAATATCAGAAAATCAGCAATGTTCCTATATTTATACAGAGATAAATCCAGAAAGATAGAATGTATTTAGCATTTAGTGATATAAGTGTTTGCCCTCCTATGGACAAGCCATGATTCTGACTCCCACAGATTAGCTAGGTGCCCATATGGCAAACAAACCAATATCAGTTGATACTATAGATAGCCTGGAGCTCAACTTGCAAAACAAAATCAATTCCTTACATTTCATGGGTTAGACCCAAGGGTTGTCAACAGAGCAGCGTAACCACAGTTATGTCACACTTTTCAGTGTTCATGGTGATGCATAGTTTTGGTTTTCTTCCAAAAATGATCTGATGCGAGTCCTCCCTTCCACATGTAGACTGTGTTATGTCTACAGGAGTAGAGCATAAATGTGGAATAATTATGTTTTGAGGTTGTGCAGGATGAGTTTGGTTAGGTTGAAGCCATTCACTGTAAAATCCTGGATGACAATCTTTTTCTTTCACCTGGAAAACTTAAGATGGATATTAGATTGGTCTTTCAGTACAATAATGATTGAAACACATAACTGTAAAGCAGCAAAGGCTTGACTAATGAAGATTTATATTAAGCACTTGCAGTCAGCAGTCTGCAGACACCAATATTCGTACAGCTGCGGTACTGACTATGTAAGGCTCTGAGTCTGTGCTTTAAATGCTCCAAAGTAAAATTATGTTTCATATCTTTACCTATAACAAAATGATGGTCTATACTTAACTTTTTTATTATTATTTACAGAAATCAATTAACTTTTGATGATATTCTAATTAGTAGATGTTTGTAAAAGACACAAAATTCCGAAGAAAACGTTGAAAGACTTTGATAAAGGAGGATCAATTTGAAATATCGCAAAAGTCGAGCTCTTTTGAAGAAAAATGCCCAAAAGTTAAGAAGTGATTATGATTTAAGACTTTCATATAGTAATGTAGCTTACTTTTTAAATCATTGTGAAACCTTCGTGTTCAGAAGCCAAGGTTAAAAGATTTTCCAGATTGATTTTTTAGATTTCTTTGTCTCTTTGCAATTTTATAAAGGGATTATTAATATAAAACTATATATATAGTCAATGCTAAAATATCAAAGTGATTGGAACAAAAAAAAAAGAAGAAGAATAGGGGGAACGCCGCAAAATAACAGAGTACAAAAAACGACAGTGACTTTCGGGTTTTGCTCAGGACGCTCCTGCCTACCGGACCCAGAATGCTCTGCGCGGGCCAAGATGGAAGAAGCCAGCTGCAGCAGGAGAACAATGTTTGGGCTGTAGATATTAAAACGGAGCGGCTGAAGGTGAACTAAGCGGACCACAGCAGCGGGTCATGGTCCTGCACCGGTAAGATAAATGTATACCAGTTAATGTTTTGGGTTGCTGCGGTTTATAACTCCATTATTACCGGGACGAGGCAGAGCGCAGCGCTGAGGGGGGTTAGCTGCTGCTAAGTTAGCCGCTCTGTGTGTCGGGACGAGCATCATTGTTCGCCGAGTTTAGTTGGGCCGTTTTGTTTTGGGTCAGTCCTGCTTGTGTCTCTCCATCACTTACAGTCCAGGAAACGGAACCGTTTACATAATAAAGCACACATGAGAACAAACACATTCACTATTCCGTTGGTTTTTAGTACAAGCCGGCTTTCACCCTTCATCATTCTCCAGCTTTCTTAATGGTTTTAAGATCTTGCTCTAATTAAACATGTCTAAATCTAACATAAAAGTAATAAAATTGCGAACTTTAACGCGGATTAATATCTTAATTTGATTAGGATGCTTTAATTGTAGTTTTATACGTTTCTTGCCGTATTTTAAGGAAGATGAGCTGCTCTTATTGCCTGGCCATATTAATTATTGGCATCACAAAGAAGCAGGGCCCCGCAGAACTGCTGAGCCGAAACGGTTAGCAGGGAGCTAATTCACATCCTGCAAGGCTGCTGGTTTATTTTCTGCTGCGTTGCCAACTCTAGGCTGATCTACTGAAATACACCAAAGAAAATAGCAGTTTAATCTAAGTAAAAAGTGTGTCGTTTGCTTTTCCTTCTTCCAAACTTGGTTTGGAGCAGGCGGTGTTGCTGCTAATGCTGCAGCAGAGATGAAGGCATTTGAGAGGCAGTCCGACTGAATTATTTTAAGCATTTTAATTTCAGATTTTCAACTCATACTTAGTGAGTTTGTTGGGCAAAAAAAAATCAGATTTGTACCCCTTTCAGATTGTATATTATTGTATCACTCTTATAAAAGTTATACCTCTGCTTGTCTAAAACCTTCAATTTATAACCATATTTGTTAGAATAAAAGTGTTTATATTATTTACCATCACTTGTTTAAATAGATTTCCTCTGTTCTTTCTGTTAAACTGCAAAGAGATTAGTTAAAAAAATACTTTCATAGGGCAAAATCAGAGCAGACAATACATATTTTTCATTTATTTGTGTTTCTTTGGACAAGAGTTTAACCTTCTGCAATCTGTTATTACCTTAATTCAGAATCTTGTCAAATTATTTGCAGAGTAAGTATCTTTATACTTAAATGTTGAAAAAAAACACATACAGTAGTTACCCATAGCTAGGTTTCTTGCACGTCCATGAAAATAATTTAAAAACATTTTTCCTGTTCAGTTTCTAAAAGATGAAAACCTGAATTTCTAGACTCATGTGCATAAACTAAAATTTCAATAACGTTACCTTGAATGCAATGTATGTTCATAAAAAAAAAAAAAGAAAAAATAAGCATCAAACGTAATTGTATCGGTTCTAATTTTCAAAGATTACATTTTGCTAAATGTCACTTACGTTTTTAAAAGGCTGCTGTGTTGCACGATTAACATTTTCACTGTTTGTTCAGCCACAGAAACATTGTAAAAACTATTATTACTGCATAAGATTGACTTCTGAAAAATCAAAAGTAGCTAATTTCAGTTGAAATATATGCAAATCCTGCATCCACAGACATGTTACGATTCTCATTCAGACCCATTAGGGGTCTTGCTGTTGCTTGCTGTGCAGTGTGTGTGTGTGTGTGTACACTCTCATTGACAGATAAGCTGGTACAAATAGGATGACTGGGTCAGACGGTCGGTCCTATCATAAAGATTACCACACAGCGGTCCTGTTGCTCCTCGCGGTCTCGTGTTGCCGGTGGAACGCAGCGG